TAGATCCGGAATTCTCTGTTCTCTGCCGTAGTTGGGGCCTTAACCAAGTAGAACCGGTGCTTCCAGTCCGACCATTTGGATGGCTTGTCCAAGGTCATAAGGTATTTGGGCTGGGTGGTCAAGGTATACCAGGCTCTCCAGCCGCCTGGGCTCCTACTCAAGTAATGCATGTGGGCAAACGCCTCCCAGCCAGGGTTGAGGCCCTGCATCTCGCAGGCGGCGATATACCCTAAAATATTTACCCATGAGTTGGGGGTTAATTGCCAGAGACCTACGCCATACCCCCTAAGTATGGCTTTTATTGTGTCGTGGAGAGGGAAGCGGACTCCGGCCACGAAGGCCGCCTCGTAGCACCCGAACCAAGCGTTCGCGTTCGGTTGTCCATCCTCCCACCATATTGTTCCCAGAGCAGCCGGGATTTTTATTGTATAGTCACCCCCCAGCGGCCGCCGTTTGATAAAATCTGGCAGCGCAGCCCGCATGAGCTCGCGGTCCTTAGAGGAGACGACGATCATGAGAGGATCGTTCATATTATCCCAAGAAGGCCTCTCCGCCTCCTCGCTATCCTCAGATTCGGTTAAGTAGCTGCTACTGCTACTTTGAACGTGACCGGCATCAGAGCCGGCTGGGGAGTTGGAGACCTCCTTATCAGAGCCTACATGCTCTCTGGTCTCCTGGAGGGGAGCAGTCTCTTCGTTTAAAATGCTATCACCCGGGGTGCTAGGAGCGCCCCCGGGTGAGCCTCTCTGCTCTACCTCTCCTTGCTCTACTTCACCGCCTGAAGCTGGGACCTCAGGCGGCTGCTCATCTGAGCTCCCACTTCTGTAGTTGGGATCTCTGGCAGTAGACCGGATTCTGGCCATTGTGTCCTGCACAGACACAGAGTCGGTCGATATGGGTGTTGAAAAAGGGTTGTCCCAAAGAACAGAGGCGGCAGACCCAGTTCTAGACTCAGCCGTACTAATAAACCGGCTGAGTTCACAGCTAGGTTCCGGGTATGGGTATAAGGGGTCCATCTATTTATGGGACCAATGAACAAAAATGCGAGTAAAAGACTCAAACGGAAATACATGAAAAATCTAGAAAGAATAGAGACGGTACCTAGAAGAAAATCTGGAAATTCTTTGGGATGCTTGCGAAGACGCAGGCGGTTCAAAATCCGGCTGGGTTTCTCTGATTACCCTCTCGAAAACCTTTGGCTAGCTTGCAACGACCCAGACGGTCTGTAGACCGGTTGCTCTCAACGAATCTCAACTCCGAATGCTCTCAACTCTCAAATTGCCGGCTGCTCTCAAATTTTCAGAAATTTGGCAAAGTTTGTAAATGAGAGCTCGGGGGACATCTTCTCCTATTTATAGAATTTGTCCCAGAAGGTGAAAAGTCGTGACTCTTCGCCTTCTGCTTTTCCATCCTTCAAAAAGAATCTGAAGAGTTGTAATAAAAAAATAAAAATAAAAAAAAAACCTTTCACCGGCGCCACGTGGCACCCTGCCACGTCAGCACCAGTGAGGGGCAAGTGTTTGGGGTAAAAATACCCTAAACACGTGGCCCAATGGCCTAGTGACACGTGGCATCCAGCCGTTGGTCAGCAGGGCTCCAATCCTCTGCTGACACGTGTCCTCTAAACCCTAAAAGGGAAACCATCCCTTCCCCACTATAAATAGTGGAAGGACCCTCATTAATGGGAGGCGGGAACATTTGTTGTTCACATTGAATACTCCTCAAAAAGAAAAACACTTACCCCGAGCAATATTAATTGCAGAATTCTCCCATTACGCGAGAAGTAACTTCTACATTACGTGCATTCTACCTCCCGTATCTTTACTAACTTGATCGTCGGAGGCGGAGCTCCTACCCCCAGGAGTCTTCGTGATTTTGCAGGCACAGGCGTCGAAGGGCATTCTTGGAATTGTAACTCTCCCGCAGGACACATCAAAAAACCCCGAAACACTATTTAATTAAAAAATAAAATTATTTTAAGTTCTGTAGTACTCTCATTTTTTAACAGTAAAAATGAGTGTCAAAAAAATATAACCATTTGAACAATGAATTGTAGTAGTAGTATTGTTATTATTATTATTATTATTATTATTATTATTATTATTAAATGTTATTATTATTATTATTATTATTATTATTATTATTATTATTATTATTATTATTACTAGATGTAAGCCCGTGCGAAGCACGGTTTTTTTGTATTTCATTTTGTATATTATTTTTGTAATTTCTTATTATTATATTAGAAGTAGAATATTTTTAAAAATTAATTTTAAAAATTAATTTTTAAATAGAATTAAAAAATCTTTTGATCGATCTAAATGATTTTATTTAACCACCCGACGAATGAGATAATATTTTCATAATTTATTTCAATTTAACAAATTCATGTTTTGCATACTTGACTAATGAATAAGAATAATTTTTTTTTAAAAAAACACAAACTTAAGTTGATTTTTCTGTTTGGTATGCTCAACAAAATATTATTCCAAAGCTTTACATAAACTTGTTTTTCATAATAAATATTTCAATAAGAACATTAAAAAAAATTACACATAAGCAAAATGTAAAAAAAAATTATTAGATACACATAAATATATGTAAGAATATTATTAAAACCTAATAAAAAATATCGATATAATTGTTGCGAAATAGATTTAAAAATTGTAAATGTATAAAATCAAATCTATGCATTGGAATTTTTTCATCATTAATTATTGAATCATTATTTTGTTGTCGATATGACAACGCGATATTGCTTATTATTTGGAACGACTGAAAAGTTTCTAATAGAGTAAACATTTCATAGTCTTCAATCAAGTTTGGACGAAAATGTTCAACACAGTTGGCTTTAAATTGAGGCATGAACTTGTGTAATCACCCTGAAATTAAAAATAAGAAATTAAATTAGTTTAATAAGTTGATTATGCAATCCAAATCACAATATTTGTTTTTAAAAATACCTCTTCGTCCAGTATTACCATATCCAGACTTATTAAGCTATTTTGTTTGCGGAAATTTAGTACATCAAACAGGTGAAAAACTCGTACTTTGAATTTTTAATCATTTTTGCTCGAATTTAATTCTTTGATCTGCATGTAATAACGAAATTCATCAAACAAAACATAAACATATGAAATTAAGCTAAAAAGTACCCTACCATTGATGACCTAAAACTGACACAAAATTACCAATACAAAATTCTCTATATGCGAATTTTGTATAAATATGAAATTTTGTTGGTGTCGTATATGTGTCAATTTATAACAGTAGGTATAAAAAAATTTAATTTAATTAAGATTAATGAACAATTTTAATTTCTTATCATAAACACTATCAAAATTTATTTTATAATGATACTTTATCATTTAAATATAATTTTTTTCGGAGGTATTATTTAGTACTTGTGATATAGTGTCACAAGCTAGATAATTTTCCCTTAAATTTTTATTTGACCGAAAGTGTTAAGTATTAAAGTGGAATTTTCATACTTATTATACTTTAATGGTAAAAAAAAAAAAAAATCATTTATAAGATAATTTTGATTCGGTTGCATTATTAAAGTGGAGTTGTCATTCCTATTCTACGTTGGTAAAATTTGTGCACTTTTCTTTATAAGAATTTTTTTTTAAAAAAATTATTATAAGACAAATAAAGATAATGATAGATGAAAATTATTATAAGATAAATAAAGATAATGATAAATAAAATTTGTGGTTTTTCATCCACGTGGCATTAAAATTTTATAAGATAAATATCATATCTTATTCGCTACTTTTACCTACGTGGCGATACAATTTTTTTATGTGGCATTAAAATTTTATAATAAATACCATATCTTATTCGCTACTTTTACCTACGTGGCGATACAATTATTTTATTCAAAATTAAAATAAAAATCTAATTTATCATTGGACGAAATATTTACTTTTCTTATGTGGCGCCCCGAGTGCTTTCGAAAAATGCCTACTTTATTTATATATATTAGATTATTATTATTATTATTAAATGTTATTATTGTCGTCGTTGTAATAGAACGCAGAGACGGCACAGTCATTCTAATATATATACGTAACAATAAAATATCACAACATTATGACCTCATCCATTGAACACAGTCATTCCTGCATTATATAATTGATATTTGCAAAAATTAAAAAAAAAAAAAAAAAAAAAAAAAAAAAAAAAAAAAAGGTATATATAATTATTGCTTAACAATTACAATACAGAAATTTGGACCTCTAGATTGGAAATCCTTAATTAACAACGAAATTAAGAGTTTTAAGTTTAAGGAATTGGTAGTAGAGAAACTAGGTGGGGGTACTGGGGTGCGGTGGTTGGTGGTTGGTAGTTGGTGCCTTGGTGGAGTCCTGTTGGTGGTTGAGAAACGGCTGGAAATATCGTAACCCGCAGTTCCTCAAGGTGAAAACGCCTAGAAATTTCGTAACCTGCAGGAGGGAACGAAGCTTCCAGGCGTTTCCACCCACGGGTTACCAGAATTTTGGGCGTTTCATTTAAAAAAAATAAAATAAAAATTCAGAAGCCACTGAAGGTGGTGGTGGGCCTGGTGGATGTTGGTGTTAGTGGTGGTGGCTGGCGAGGAGATAGTGATGGCGGTGGGGTTAATGGGGTGCTTAAATGGTGGGTCCATGTTCAAAGTTTTCAAATAAATTTCTTACCATGTCTTAACTTGGTCATTTCTTGTAAGAATGCATTAGCTAGTGTGTACTCATCATAATCTAGCTATTAGTCATCTAATGAGAAAGCTCATAATGTGGCTGCATCAATGAGGGAGAAAGCTCATAAACCCACTTTAATGGAGAATGCTTCAATATAGGAGAACACTCATAAGCAAGCTCATAACCCCACTTCGATGGAGGAAAACGCTCATAAACCACTAGAAAGAACAGTCAAAATTTTTGGGAGAGTATAATTGTTAAGTTGAGGTAAAATTAATTATTTTTATACCTAGGATAAATATGTAATTTTAGGTTATTTTGCGGACGTTAATTGGAGATTCGAGGGTAACGTTTAGGTACCACCACTAAAATTAGGGTAATATTAATATGAGAAAATAATGAGGGTAAATGAGAAATTAAAATAGAAGGTGAGAAGATCATTTTGAAACATACAAAATAAAAAGTGAGATCATTTTGAAACGAAGGAAGTATCATTTTGTGCATCCATTTTCGTACCACATTTGAATCAAATCCTATCCCATGTAATGTAACCTTGACTTAGACTTAGACTTAGACTTAGACTGATAGTGAAGTAGTGATTACTACTTAAGTACAAAATTACAAACGTGAATTACTTAGAACTTGTTCGCTTCAACTTACAAAAAATATCCAAAAATATTAATCTTGATAAATAAATGTTATTTTAATTGGTATAACTCAATGACTACTAACATACATGAGAAAAGCACAGGAAAGGAACAAATCCATTGTATCATTGTTACGGAGTACTACGTATGTTTCACTTACCCCTTTCTAAGATTTGCTCATATATTACTCAATACGTATCCAAATATCACGACCTTCACATCTTTTGGACGCGGATAATACTGTTGCATGATACGTATCCAAATATTATGATCTTTCACATCTTTTGGAGCAAATCAGTGAATCGTTTGCCTACTCAGAATCTGATTGCCTTGCAGACTGCATACACAAAAAACACACCCATGAGTGTACGCCAAGAGATAATAACCATAATGAGAAAATGGAAAACAGAAAGGATGTTACAATGTCGTAGACACAAGGCTTACCAGCATCTCATGATCTCCCTTAATCTCTTCGATCAGCTCCTCTAATGGTTTATTGGAACTGTTGGGAACATGGGCAGCGAATACAGCATTCTCTAGACCTGCAAGTAAATGGGACAAGAGTTTTCAAATATACAAACCAAAACATTTTCATTAGCCTCTCAGTCGCCCTTGGTGTGAAATCAGTTGTCTCATGATATAGACTATAGAGATACTTTATACGCACAATACACAAATTATCATTATCAGGATATGGTCTCATGACATAATCACAGTTAAGATCACGAAACAATTTATTGCTACAGCTTGAAAACTAAAAGAAAGCTGACAATATGGGCTGTATATCTTCCAGCTGACAAGATATAGGAATACTTTTTGAGTCGTGCAATACCGGATTCTTCAAAGGCATCTATTAACATCATCATCTCCTCCCCAGTAAGTCCAGAAAGAAAACATATCCGCTGTACTGATTTTGCAATCTGTAGAAAACTAAGCTTCATGAGGTACTGAAATTTCCAATTGCATTAGCAGTTCAGCAGCTACAGATTCAGAACAAGAACAAATTTACAAATGATATCGAAAAAAATTTATTCTAAAATCACCAGTCACTCCTTGTCAGCAACACATCTTTAAGAGATTTCTTTTAATCACTAAGAAATAAAAGTTAGGTTTCTCTTCAGTCTTATTTTGCTTCCATGTCAACATAATATTTAAAATCTCAAATCATACAATTTTTTCAAACTGACACCACCTTATTATTGTCCTAGGACGATCAAGTTAAAAGATAAGGTATGACACATCACATACTACAAATGATTTATACTTTATTCAATCATTTTATTTTTATTTTTTTGCTCTTTTTCTAATTAAAAAAAATAATTAAAAAAAAATATATATAAAAAAAAAAAAAGGTTGATGTAGGGGTAATGTTGATGCATCAATGAAGTGTACAAAGACCCGATGTAAAATATGCTCTCGTTGCACAAATTAACTTATGTTCTTTATGTAAGAAAACTGCATTGACGTAGAAGATTTTATTGATTCTAAACCTCTTTTGACATTATATCTTACTCTTTTTTAAGATGATTGTCATTATGGATATTAGCACAGCAGAAACATTTTTTTTCTTCTTTATTACTTAGTTGCTCGTGCATAAGTGAATTTTGGATTTTGATGGCTGATGCCTATCTATTAGTGATGTCAATGCAAAAGTAAAAGATGCAGCTCAATATGGGTTAAACAGAAGAATAGAATAATAAGAGTAGAAGGGAATTGCAGAAGTATACACTTTTCTCTCATCAGACCAGCTAGCTGTAGAAAAGGGTGGACACTTCTGATAAGCGAATTCCTGTTTCTTTTTCTCCCCTCACTGTTTTCCACACCCTCCCCGTTAGACCCATTTTTCGATTTATGTCGACTTTAAGGAAACAAGCCCAAACTACACTGGACTTTTGACCAAGTGGGCTTAATATTGAGACACATTTACCCAAACTGTACATGCTTTAAGCCCGCAGTGTTAATTACAAATTCAACTTTCAATTCTCACGATTGAATTTGGTGCCAAGGAAAAACAGAATAAAGAAAACTGCTATGAGTGGGAGATAACTGCCACACCACGACGCAAAACTGCCATCAAATCACTCTATATAAGCAGCAAGGATCATGAGAAGAGAAAACAATCAATCCCATAATCAAACAACTGCACTTTACATTTCTGCAGGCTTTTTAGTTTCCTGAGTTAGAATTCTAAGCTTAGAAGCCTAGGTTAGAGTAGATCTTAGCAATAGCGATAACATGTAGTCAACATTCTTGGATGAAGTAGCAAACTTCCGATTGTGTTTAACCCATGGAGGTAATGTATTTACAACATCGACAGACTTTTCCAGAAGAATATATGGAGCAAGTTTCTGAGTGGAAAGTGAGGGCTCAGAAGTAAGCGTCATTAAAAGTGAATTTGGACAGTTGGAGGACTGTTCAGAGACTCGAGCTATGGAAGTTCAGGTTTGTGTGGATCAACTAGTCAGCTCTCAAGGATAGATTACAATATATCGTAATTGAGGTCTTGAACTTTGAGGTTGTGTTAGGTTGGGAGGAAACGACTTTTTTTAAGGAAACTGGTTTTACCATTTTCCTCCATTTGGTTTGTAAAGATTGGAAAAATGTTTTCCCTATGGTAGAAAGCCTTTCCTTGTTATTTCTTACCTACCTATTTCTCCTCCTATCCATTCCCTCTCCGACGCTTCATTTTCTGTTACTCTCTAACAACTCTACCTGGGAACCAAACAAAGGAAATGAAGTTTAAAATCCAATTTCCATAGAAAATAGAATTCAGTGCAACCTAAGTACCAATAACAGCAATGTATTGGAGTTTCAAAGAAACTGAAATATATTGAAATTACAAGAGTTCTCAAGGCAAAATTGAGAACAAAACAAGAAAAAGGAATAGAGGAATATAACTGGTGTGCCGTGGGCCATGGCAATAGAGGAGTATAACAAAAAAAAAGCTCCATTTGTTTTGATGGAGAACATATATCATGGAAAATCATTCCCCAAAATAAAACAATTTTCAATGGAAAACATGATTATAAAAAAAGATTCCTTTGTTTGCTTGATTATAGAAATACATATGAAGAAAAGGAATAATGCAAGTATAAGGGAGAGGAAGGATATTAATCAATCAAAGACTTAATCCCATAAGTGGGGTCGGTTATATGAACCAAAAGTGATTATTCTGTATAGTCATCCAAGGGAGAAGAAGGATAAAGGAGAAAAATAGAGAAGTGAGAAGTAAAGAGGAAAATGTGGTACACCGTATACCTTTATTAAAAAAGAAACCTCATCTAAAAAATAACTTTCCACTGATTCAAAAAAAAAAAAAAAAAAATTTCCACATATTGAAAAATTGTTTTTCATCCTCTGTCGGCAATGAAGCCAGTAACAATAGGGATTTACATTCTTAATATCAATTTTTACCTATTTGGGGAGATTATCCCAACAATTCCCTCCCTTCTATATTTTCTCATAACAATTTCAAATTCATTCATGTGTCATGCTATTTTTTTTACCTTTCTTGTACTCCCTTTGTGTTTTAACAAGTATTACACTTACCAAATGCGGCCGTGTTTTAATAAGTGTTACACTTTCTTTTTTTTGGCAAAAAGATATATTTTAATATTATATCTCTCTCCTCTCATGGTCCCCACCCAAAGCCATTACTACTTTTTTTATTAATATTTTTCTCACGTTCATTACATTTCAATAAATTAAGAACCCCATTATCTTTTTTTTAAAATTTTTTATTATTCCAACTACCCCACTTACCTCTTATTTAATTTAAGTCATTTAGATTGCCTAAAACTATGTGCTGGTCAAAATGTAACACTTATTAAAACACGGAGGGAGTATATAAGACAAACCGGCTATGTAGCTTTATTCAAAGTTTTCTTTCTCTCATACATTATTGACTAATGAAGCATCAATCATAATCAATATGTTGTCTTATCAACCTACAAGCCTTATGATTATCCAATTTTCCGGTTAAGTGTCTTCCTCGTTGGGGTTAACACAAATCCTTACAATATAGATTATCCTCCATTCAAGACTTCCATATGAAAAAGTTGGACGTTGTCAACTTAATCATTCCCAATAGGCTTATAATCATATCTTTTTATTTAGCTTTACACGTGTAAGTATGTATCCGGCTCGGCCTTGGTACTAAACTGTTGGGACTTGGGAAAGATCATAGATAATCATAAAAAGTTAATATGTTTCTATATTGCTATATATGCTTTTAAGACTACCTAATTACATAATATATAATTTTTCTAGAAAATGAGCGATTGAAATTAAATAAATTCTATGGTTCTACCTCTTATTCCTCTCCTTGTCTTCCTCTATTTTTTCTTTTTAATAAATTTTTTTATAGTATTGTAGAGAGAACCACAAAAACAAATGATGCAGACAGAATTTGATCCTAGACCACCCCTCAAAATAGTTGGTAATCCACTTCTCTAAATCATTTTTTCTTTCCTTTTCTATTATTGCTCCTTTGATATATTTAAGGCATTCCAAAAACACGGACGAACATTTACCAACACCAATGAAGAACAGTTGAAATGTCAATTTGGGAAAACTAGTTGCTCGCCCATATTTACCAACACCAATGATGAACAGTTGAAATGTCAATTTGGGAAAACTATTCGCTCGCCCATTCCATAGGGGGGGGAGAGGGGGGGGGGGGAGAGATCACAAAGCTCATTTCTAACCTTCAAATTCCCCAAATCCTGGTGTTTAGTATTCACTGCATCCCAAAGTGAGCGAGTAATCATGTCTTCAGTGCAGTAGATAACCTGCAATAATAGTTAAAACAATTAAAAAGATACAACTTTTACAAAATACACAGCAGAGAGCTACACCCAACAACTACACAGAAATTGTAAAAAATCTTGCAAAAATGAACACTATTTTTCCAAGGTTGTGTATTATTTCCTCCCAAGAAGAATGTTTCCCTGTTGATAATTTACGAATAAGAAAAGGAAAAATTCTTATCATACCTGTAAAAACTCCCCTTCCAACTCCTTCAGAAGCTGCTGTATCTGCAGTAAGTTGAATCTTTTCAGAACCATGTGTCCTATATCTCCAGTCAGTCACGTCAAAACAAGGAATTTCAAAACATTGTGGAAGGCTTACATTTAAAAAATTAAAGAGAATGTATTTATCCTGCAGATTGTAGTACTAGGCATGACAATTCTACATATTAAATACTACTTGGGCACATTGAAAACAAGAAGTTAAGAAAACAAAAATTTTCAACAATACTTTTTATGTTTGAGTAAGACATTTTTGAAAGCAGTTCTTGGAGCTGAGACTAGGCAGAAGGATTTTAGTTGGGTCAATATCCCTATAATGATATCCATTAGGTCCATTTTACCTGATATCACAATAAACTACAGTTGCAGCTATTCCTTTCATCCACTTAGGTTTTACGTTTTTCACCATTTACCTATCAGAATTTATTGAAACTAAATGAAAATAGTCCAAAATTGTCAGAACTTATGACAATGCTATCAGTTGTTAATAGAACTTGGATATCCTGATAAGCAACATTTATATAGGGTAGTTTTAGAGTCATTTTCGAGTTTATTATTTTTAATAATTTTTCTCCCTTCTTTTTTTTTTTCTTTATCTATTTTAAATTTGAGTTTTCATTATTTTTAGTTGTTTTTAGTTTACTTTCGTTTCATTCCTTTATACTCCTTGACTTTATTCATATTAGGAGTATTTCTTATTTTCTTGGATTCATAGTTAATGTTATCAGTTTAATATAGCTTTATTTCTATTTGTTTTATTTTTATTTCTCGATCACTACTTGTCTTTAGTCTTGTGTGTAGGTGAGCGTTGGAGTACGAGGCGCTATTCAAGCTTGATTCAAGCTTAGGGGGTGTTTGGTTCATTATATTGGAATGGATTGGTATGGAATCCCATACTAGAGAGGTATGGATTCTAAAACCCATACTAGTCTAAATTTGTTTGATTTTAATGTTGGAATGAATTATTTACTTCATTACAAGAATGGAATTGAATCTTGGGGGAAGAGGTGGATATGGGATTCCATAGGTATGGGGTGGAATTAGAACCCCTTGGGTATGAGATTCCATAACTAAAAAGCTCCACCAAACAAAAAATAGATGGAATGGATTCTAACTTCATTCCAACCCATTCCAAATAATCCAACCAAACGGCCCCTTAATTGATGATAGCAGTCAATCCTTCATCCAGCCTTGTCCTTCAGCCATTCACCAAGCCTCACAAGCAACAGCCATTGCAGTCAAGGCATGCACCCAACGCAGCGCGGACAGCGGCTCGGGCAAGCAGACCCTATACTCCCACGGTGCTCTACTTTTTATCCGAGGTGCATCACTGCATCGGCCAGGTTGGCGCAGCGTGGACCCGTTGGACCCAATGTCCGTGCTGTTATACGTCGACCAAGCATCGGACACCACGTGCAGCACAAGCAGAAGCATAGGCAGCACGCGAGAGTCTGCCCCAGGACGTACCCTCGCAGCCGTGACTGGGTGCACCTGCAGCTCCCTGCATATGCCTATTAGTCACTCATGTCTCTTATTTTCTATAAATAGGGCCTTGGTCTTTGTATTAAGTACATTTAATTAGATGATAATCCCCTAGATTAACTTAGCATTGTAGACAGAGAAACACTTAGTTTTAGCCTTCTCTAGATGAATTTGTGATCAACATGTTAAATATTTTTCAAGATTAATCAAGTTTCTTTAGTAATTTCTTTCACTGATAACCTCCAAAAGAAAATTTCCAGCTTAATTTTTTATGTTTTACCAAATCCATATGAAATTATGTAGTCCCGTAGGTCATGAACTTCTTTCTTACTTTCCACCCAGAAGAAAGGATAAAACAAAGAAGAGCAGCAGTGAATCTCACCAAGTACAATTAGCCAAGGAAATTACCTTATCTGCCTCTTCCACTTTAAAACCCACGAGCAGTAAAGCCTGTAACAGGAATACACATATACAAAGTATAAGTGTTACTGAACAACAGACAGACTCTGCGAATGAATACTTCAGATTGACAGTTTTATCACTAAATTAACATCAAAATACATACAAAATGAGACAATTTTTTAATTTTTCTTTGTGATAGCTTTCATGTACTTCGTTTATATTTATATTTATATTATTTTTATATTTTCAAAATAAAAAATCTGGCAATGAGCATGTTTATAAGAGTCTTCCCTAGTCCTTGGATATTCATATACAAAACTGCACTTCCAACTCCCTCATATATACCCAAAGTACCATCTCAAGATACTTTTGAGCACCCAACTCATTTTTCCACTAACAACTTAAGAGACCTTTTTAAATTTGTCTCGTATTATTTTCAGGAGGTGCTTCTTTTCTACATCATCCTTCCAAGTTCTCCCATCCCATATATTTCTTTTTTTTTTTTTTATAAGCCATCCCATATATTTCTAAATTCCTTCAAATCTCTCACTTTCACACTGCAGAATTGTAGAAGTCTAAATTCAAAGAATGGTGTTTGACTCTAGCATATTTGGGGAAAAGAAAAAAATAAAAAGAAATAGAGGAGAGAAGGTAAAAATAAAAAGGAAGAATTTGGAGGTGGATGGGAACAAAGTGAAGAAAATGCCCCCTCCCCTCGAAGATGACGATATCCTAGCAATATCTTTGAAAAAATAAAAACATATTCCTTCAAAGCGATTTATGAGTTTTTCACAAGAATAATGCAGCACTTGAATAATTGTTAAATTAAAATGCATTTTGGCTAATTGGGTTTCAGATAGCCAAAGTTCTATTCTTTGACACATTGATAGTACAAGCATTGATCAGCAGAAAGCTGCTGCAATTCACATGAGTAGTCAGTAAACATAGTAATTTTCAGTAAAGTTAACTAATCTCAACTTACTGGGGGACCATAGCTGGGTTCTTCAGCTTCCAGAGGAACAAACTTTGAATCTTCATCTAGCTCACTTGGAACTTGAAGTCCTATATGATTAAGTTGAAATGTTCATCAATGCAGTAACTGTAATAGACCAGCCTATGTGTAATGCAGTTTCTTATCATTCGTAAACAAAGACTTTGCAATTTAACATATTATTTTAAGAAAGGTTTATGTTAAGTCTTCTCACCATACAATATATAGGATTTCCCTAATTTATTATTCAAGATATTAATCAGGTGTTCAACATAGATTCGATTGAGTTTATAACAAATCAACTTGGTAGAGTTTATAAGAGATTGCAACATGAACAACATTCAATCATTTCCACTACGGTTATATCACGAAATTGTTACTTCATATACCTGCCAGGTTATAAAATTGGACTTCGCACCCAAATTCAACTACCCAAATGCAAATCACTTTAATACAATACAAAACAAAAATGTTGATGGCAAAAGAATGAAGCAAAAAACTAATTAAGACATAATTGATGAAACCCAGAAATGGCAATTAAAGGAAAGCGAAAGATTATAAAAAATGCAAAGCTTAATAAAAAATGGTTGTACCTTCAGAAGAAGCTCTCAAAAGAGGGTGAATTTTGCTCAACCCAGAAGAGGAGAAAGAAGGAGGAGGTGAAATTTGAGGAAATGAGTGAGACTTTGGTAGGAAAGATGAAGTTGGAAAAATGAGCTTTGAGGGAAACCCATTCATGGACAGAGACAGTCCATTTACAGTAGCAGAAGCCATACTATCTATGGAACTTTCACACCTCTATCTCTATCCACAATAAATTTCTAGAGTTGTCATTTTTTTTTTAATTTTTTTTTTTTGGAAAGAAGAGATGTCATTTAGGGGTGTTTGGTATGGATTTTGTTTCTGTAGAGGTGGAAACGGAATCATATTACCGATAATGAGGAATTAGAATTTGTTTGATTAATGAGTAAAGTAACAAAAATTATATTAAGGTGGTAACTTTTTCTGCCACATTGTTTTCGAGTGTAAAAATGGAGTAACAAATCACGTTTCTTACCTATGATCCAAAACATCACAATTCTATCCTCTTCTCTCTTGAGGAATCCCCTGTTAATTGGAATGATACTTCGTATTAAAGTATAAATTTTGTTGAAAAAAAAAAAAAAAAAACCTAGCCTCTCTTTTCTCTCTAAAACCCTAGCCTCCATTGTTGAATTTTGGAGGGGCTTCCATCGATTTTTATCGGTGGAAAGCCCCAATTGTTTGTTTTTGTGTGCTTTTTCTATTGTTTTAGGTTTATAATAATTCTTCCTCTTCTATTCTTCTTCTTTGGGAGGATTTGGCTCCTTCGAAAGACCGGGTTTTTCTTCTCTCTTTTGAGGGATGATTTGCTTTTTTATTTTATGGATTGCTATAGAATTATTTCATGGGTAAAATTTTGTGTGAGATCGGAAAAGAGGTATATATTTCAATTACAATCTAGAGAATCAAACGGAAATTTTCTGCACAGCTACAACAGATCGATAGACCCCCTCGCCGATGAAGGCTGTAAATCACATTGATATGAAAGAGGGTATGAAGATTGTACGATTTGCAACAACGATCGTAGCTTTGCTTATGGAATGTTTTTATTTGATTCAATTATTATGTATTCATTAGATCTAAATCTCTTTGTAGATGTCGTATGACTTTATTTATGAATCAATTTTATTTCAAAAAAAAGGAACCCCCTGTTAATCTATTAGATCAAACGAATTTGTTAATCAAGTGGCGTTTTGGTAATAAATAAGAACTACTATATAAAAAATGTCAGCTCAATTCTTAGCAACATGAAGTGCTGAGTCACAAGTATAGCGGCTAACTTAACATTACATTCAAAGTAGAAGGCGTCTGTTGTGTAGTCTTTTTTTACGATAATGATTTTTTTAGATCGAGTGATATTTATTACTAGTTGGTTGATAGGTTTACGCTATTGTGTTTCTAGATTTGTAGCTATAGCTATAGTTATCTGAGCAGCTACAACGGTTTTTCCTCCGTTACTGGCGACAATATACAACTGCAAAGAATGCTCAACTAACCTAAACTACCTATTCACAAACCACCTCATTCCTCCCGATTTCTATTTTGAATTGGCAACAAAAACTCTCGCTCTCTTTCTCATGGATCAACCCACACAAATTCACTTTTGAAAAAAAAAAAGAGAATAAAATCAAACCCTTCTTTGAAACCCTAAATTATTAGGGAATTCATATAAATAGAACCAAAATCAAGTGTAAAAATTATGGTAAACTTTTGGATTATGTTTATGATGATGGAGCAAATTTTAAAGTAGACCATGGTGCATCTTTCTTAGGTTGTCTAATCTAAAAATACATTTTTTATTGTTATTTGGGCTTTTTCTATCTCCTCCATCCAACCTAATGATTCATCTTTCTAAATATTTCACACCTTCAAATTTCTCCTCCCTCACTACTAGAAACATTCCTCCTCCTTAGGGATGACAGTAATTTGAATGTGATCTGATCCAAATAAAATAATCTGATTCAAATCTGAACATGAGTTTGATTTAATAAGTCCGACTTCGAACGGAGTCGGATCGGATTTGGATCCTGCTTGAAGTTCGACGGATCTGACTCGAGTCTGACTCCAACTCCAATCCGCGATATATACAAGTATATTTTTTAGGGTTTGTACTGCATTTTTTTGTAGGGTATAAATAAAACTTTTTACTACTACACGCCACTTTCATCTTTCCTAATGCTCAAACACTGTAGAATCTAAACAATATCTCCTTATCTCCTCCTCTTTCTCATTCCACTAAAACAACTCCGTAAACTACCTCTTCTCTAAATTTTCTCCCCATTTTTATCCCTCTAATTTTTTTAATCTCATCATTTAATATCCTCATTCATATATATCTATTTAAAGAGCACAAATTTGGTTCTCATGTGTAGTTGTATGTAAATTGGGCTCAACTTGCAAATTGTTCTTAAATCGTTGATCTTATCAATTTGTAGATCTATTTTCTAACTCATTAATGAACATCAAATTGGAAGAAAACAATTGTACTGTTACATTTATAATTAAAAGTCTTGGTATATTTCTAAATCTAAGTTCGATAATGTCACTGTTTTTGTTTTTATAAAAGACTAAATCAAAATATATCTGTAATGCTATTAAAATTTTGCTGCTATTATTATCATCATATAAATGTCGAATGTTTTATAAGTTGGATGTATAAAATAAAAACAGAGGGGTTTTTTTTTTTTTAATTTTGCCTCAGACCTGATTCAGAGTCGGAGGGTGCAAACTTTATCAGACTTGGGTTAGATCTTAAGTTTTCAGACTCAGACTCGGACTCGGTTTTGGACTCGAATTTAAGGTTCGGTTTGTGGTGGATCGAAATCGAATCCCACATAGATCGACCTGAGTCCGATTCGTTGCCATTTTTACTCCTCCTTTTCCTCTTTCTCTCTCTAAAATTTCCGTTATTTATTTTCAAATTTCTTTTTCTTCAACCTTTGAGTTGAATAAAGAAGCTTTGTTAATGGATTCTCCGCAACAAAGTGAAGTTGAAGATGGCAATTCGGCGAAGAGAAGTGGTTGAGACGGGAAAGTTTCAAAATATGTTGCTTTCGCATTCTTAAACCATTGATTATGAAATTTTGTAAGTTTATATGTCAAATTCGTCTTTGACCTCTTCGTGTAGATTTTTTTTTCTTATCTCTCTTTAATTTAATTTACTTTATTTTATTATAATTTCACTTGTTGAATGTTTGTTACATTTGCGTACTATATTTTAGCTTGTATAGATATCTTTTAAAAGTGATAATCACCGTCATTTTTTGTAATATTTTTTTTACAGGAAGAAAAGGGATTTTATTAATAAAATATAGTCAAACGACACTTACATATAATTATTTCTAAGCAATCAAGAATTCCAACACAAGTACATAGCACCTTAAAACTAAATACATCGTAGATTTGATCAACAATCACCTTAATTAAAAACTTTATCTTAAGCAATATAATATGTGAGTTCGCACTAATTTAGCTTGAAATCAACTGATGCATAATCGTTTGAGTGAAAATACTCATGTGGTCCTCCAAATTCTTGTAGAGATTATCAAAACCCTACATCTTCAAATCTCGCCATACAAACATAAAAATCAAAATAAAAAATTTATCTCAAGGATGAAATCTATTTATTGAAAGTAATTTAAAGGTTTTTGGAGCTTACCACTAGTAAGAACATCTGTGGAAGACCCTACAAAGATTCATTAATGAGACCAAGAAGAAAAGAGATGGAGACAAAAGGGAGAAGAAAGAAGGAAAATCTTAAAAAAATTGAAAAAACCTAGCAATGGAGGCTAAAAAAACCTTAGAAAACAAAAAACAAAAACCTGTCTTAAGGAGAAAACCTAGAAGGAATAAAAAAAAACGAGTGGAAATGAAAAAAAAAGAAAAAAAAAAAGAAAAGAGAGAGAGAGAGAGACATATATTGCTACTATTGTTTCGGGGTTTTCTGATGTCCTGCGGGAGAGTTACAATTCCGAGACTGGAACCGGACGCCTGTACCTGCAAAATAACGGAGACTGCTGGGAGCTCCGCCTCCAACGGTCAAGTTAGTACTTGATTAAGGAGTAATAAGTGCGGAAATTAAAGTAATAAGGTCTCTCTAGGTGAGAGTGTTTAATGTTGGTAATCTGCTTTGTTAGCGAGATCAGCCGGTTATTAGTGTGTTCCGTAACGTTTCTGTCCTGTTCCTTAATGAGGATTAATTAAGTATTTATAGTCTTGAGAAGCGTGCCACTCTCTAGGTTTAGGGTAAACCTAGGGCTGACCGGGCCTCTAAACAGGATTGGGCCTTGTTGGCCGGTTTTCCCATTTGGCATGGGTGGACACGTGGCGTGTCTCAATTGGTCCGTAGAGAACGTATCTGTGATTGACACGTGGCAGGCTCCTATTGGCCTACGTGAAGGACACGTGGCGGAACCTGGTTGGTCCACTTGTCAGACGGTGATTGGTGGATAAAAATCCCCTAATCATTTGCCCCTCACAGGTGGCACGTGACTGGTCACGTGTCACCTGTGACAGGTGCCGCACGGTGACAGGCGACGGCCTGCTACAGGTGTCACCTTGCAAATGGCCGAGAGATTTTCCCGCCCAAATTTTGAATTTGGAAGCGACCCTTCGCCTTCTCACTTTGCCTATATAAGGAAGTGCTGACTTCGGTCATTTTCACATTTGAGAACTTTGCGAGAACATTCGGACCCCTGAACTTGCTCTGACATTTCGGACCTTTTGTGCGTACCGCCTGTTCTGACAAGCCGACTGCACAGGATTTTCAGAACTTCATCAACCGTCACTCGTTCAGGTAACTGTCAGTTCTCTTACTCTTAATTTTTCTTTTTATTTTTTTGAATGGCACCACGGAAGCACACGACACGACCTAAGTTAGTGATCAGCCGGTCACCGGGGACGGCTGAATCTAGGACTAGGAGTGTCGCCTGCCCTTTTCTGGACCCATCTTTGCCCTTTATACAAAGTCCGACTGTATCTGTGTCTATGCAGAACGTGATGGCCAGAACAAAAAAGACTGCTATGATCTCAAACTCGGACGGCTCCTCCCAAAGGGTGCTCATTAGTGAAACATCTGACCAGGCGCCAGATGTAGAAGTGAAACGAGGCGGCTACCAAGCCGACAGTTCTGAGGGAGGGGTCAAGGTGGTCCCTTCCCATTTCACCGTTGATATGTCTAATTTTCCTCCTGCTCCTTCTAAGGGAGAGGAGGCGGGCCCCTCTGGGAGAGGGGAGGAGTCGTCCTCTTCGGACTCGTCAGAGGACGAGTCCGAGTCCAGCTCTTCTGGCCACGCTTCTCCAGGCTCAGAAGAAAGAAACAGCCGCCTACAAGAGGCGAGGCTTTCTCATGCAGTTGAGAAGGGGGACAATTGGGCGGAGCCGTCCGCCTCTTACAGAGAGGAAAACACCCCTTACTACTGCACGGTACCCCGGGGCCGGATCGCAGCCATGCAAGACAAAGTGGAGAGCTTTATAGCTAACCACAGAATGGGCCCCGAATTTTTACTGTTCGTGCCGGATCCAGAAGACACTGTCGTCTGGCCGGCTGGTACCAGCTATGATGACGGCTGCTTTGGCTGCTATGTGGCGGCC